GGGGGGGGGGGGGGGGGGGTTCTGAAAAATTTGTTCCGGACATTAAAAATTGAAGGGTCAAAAAATCTTTTCCGTACAAATTCTTGTTAAAACATGGGTGAAATCCTTATTTTTGGAAAAATATCTGTAATATTTCTATAAATTCTATTCAATTCCCTCTGAAAGTCCTGTAAGTTACTTGATAACTCTATATTCTATCATCTAAAATCTTTGATTTCCCTGACAATCCAGATGATTCGCCCTGCCAATTCAGATGATTCGTATCTTGGGGGAGGGGTCACCACCCAATCATACCCCCTCCAGTTTCGCCCCTGGTTTCGGCATATTATGAGAAAATAATGCTTGCTGTTGATGAAGACTTTGTAGGGTTTGTAGTACTAAAGGAGGACAGCTCTTGATGTTAGAATTATTTTTTAATAAATGAACCTATTGCGCATAGAAACAGTACATTTGCTATATTCAATTGTTTTCCAAAGAGACTGAAATTTTTAGAATAAGATTTGTAGCTATCTAATGTTAATTTTCCTGCACTTCGTGCGTGTGGGTTAAATTGTGGAAAGTGTCGCAGCGTGTTTGGGAATCATTCTAACTACCACTTCATTAAGTTGCTTTAACAGATTATAATCTGTAATAACTTATACACACAGGTATGTGTTTCAAAATTTGTTACAAAATCTGCGTAGTGTATGGATTTTCCCTGCGTTGCAAACACGACGAGTGTATACAATTTACTGCAACAAATTTAGTTCTATTCAAATCTACAATCTGCTTTACCTCAAATACTGAAACAGTGTACACATTGCTTGTAGACATACTGTAAGCAATTGGCTTTCATCCCTATTTTTGGACCATATTAACTAATATATTGTCGCGATTTTTTACGCTTCTGGTCAATCTATTGGCTGCAGCTCATTTATATTTATCGCAATTTTGTGACAATATGACCGTATCGGTTGACTGCGTCAAAACAGCTTCTTTTACAATCTTTTAAGTAACGAATTTGGAGCAACCGCCCATGACACATCTGTTCGCTATTTTTTAGTTTCGCAACTTTCATTAGCGCTGTTGACTCTTCTATACATTGTATTAAATGCAATATTAATCCAATTTAGTGAGCTAGACGAGTCCCTATACTATTACGTCAGATGCATTGTTTCAAATCTCCAATCATTTCCAATCATAGTTCCCATTTCCTTTGCGCGAAAGGCGAAATTCAGTGTTTAAACGGCAATATCTTTTAATAAACTGAAAAAGTAAATTCGATTCTGCTTGCGAATTTCCGTATTCTCAAGCAGTATGAACGTGTGCATTTGAGCTCGTCGAATCTTCATAAGATATTTTCGCTTTGCGTAATTTCAAGTCCCCTACAGTATATTCATACTAATGTTTGATAGCTCTTTAGTTTGTTGTTTCTGAAGCTTTTACATTTACTCATTTATCTAAAATCTGTCCAAAACATCTCGAAATGCAACGTGTCACAAGGTCGAATCAGTCAAGTGGTTCTATTAACGATGAGCTTCGTGGCTATTTTGAATCGGAATCCTTTATGGATATTATGAGGAGAGTGGTTTCGAACATGGTTGCGGAAGAATCTTTTCAACTTGCTCTCAAAAAAAGTGTAGATGCAGCAGTGGCGAGCACCGTTGAGCCTTTTAACAAGAAACTAGCTGAATTTGAACAATACGTGCCACGAGTAACCGATTTAGAAAAGAAGATTAACGACCTTGAATCTCGTCTGTCGGCAGCGCAAGAGGAAGCTAAACTTGCTATAAATAGAGCTAATGATAACGAGCAATACTCTAGAAAATATAATTAGAGATTTATCGGCATTGAAGAGAAGAAAGATGAAAATTGCACTGAGTTCATCGTCGCATTCTGCAAGGAGAAATTGGAGATCGCCGTGCCTGCTAACACTATTGACCGTGCACACTGAGTTGGAAAAAAATCTGAAGGGAAAACCAGAGCCATATTAGTGAAATTCATGAATTATAATTCTAAATTGATGGTTTGTATTCAGAAAAAACTTTTAAAGGATTCCGATTTTGATATTAATGAAGACCTAACTTACATTAATATGAAACTGTTCAGTCATGCTCGCAAATATGCGAGCAATATTAAGTCGACTTGGTTTTCTGATGGTAAACTTTTTGTTCGTGGTGAGTTAGACGATAAAATCTATCGGATTAGGAACATGGAGGACTTTGAGCGCTATGATTTTTGTTAACTGCATAGTATGTTATGGGCCCTTAGCCATATATCTTTGAATTCCTGAGATTTGCATGATAACTTGTTTGCTATGGTTAATGATTCAAGCACGTTAGGTGAAAAAACAGCCCGAGAATAAGTGAAACACACGCCAAATCATTGTGGGAGAATGGGTTCAGGGTGAAGTGAACCAATTATATACATTATACTCTCAAACTTTGGTCAACCCAAAGACTCATTAAGCCTTATGTTTTCATCCCGCAGGGGTATATATAAGACCTGCTAGGAGAGACTGAATGCCCTAGGGGTCATAATCCCCAAATAGAGCCCTGCCAGAAGGGTAGCGAGCCCCTCTAACATCAACCTGAACCAAGGGGTCATAATCTCCTTGGACAGTCCCTACGATTCGACTGATTATATTTACATAAATAATTGAGTCTATGGGCCTGAAGTTGATCATTGGGAACACTTCAACCACGAACCAAAATTTATTTGTTTCAACATAAACCAATTTAAGTATTTACATAGCAATAATTTTCCATGAGAAAATTGTTCGATAGTCTTTCTTGACAAATTGTTCTTGAATAGTCCTTGCATAACATTAGTTGGTACCCATACAATGCACCAGATACCAGGAAGATGAATGGGTGGGTGGGTGGAAATTTTCTTTCTCGGTAACAAGACATATTGCTCTTTGTTGGGATATTTGTCAAAGTGAACTCCCTTATCACATTGACCTTTATTCTGCGTGTTCGTTGTTGACATATGATTGGTCAGATGATCTTTCATTCGGTTTACACGTGCCCAGGGAAACATTTGAACTTTGGACTATTGGATATCGCCTTTTTGTGGCTGTTGACAAGCTTATCCTGTTACTATGAGATTATAACTAGGTTTGAAGGTGACAAACGTGTTGTCTCATTAACTTGAATTTATATATTGTTATACATAAATTTGCTTTAATAATCATGGCATTGTTTTGTTGTTTTCTTTAATTAGCATTTTGTGTGTCAGTTTATGTATATTATTATTAAGCCTGGTTCACATATGCCTGCGATATGCCGGCGACGTCATTGTTTACAGCTGTTGATGCATACATTCTTTTGTGAATTATTTGGTTGAACTGCTAAAGACAATAGCCCGCGGACACACCGCAGGCATATGTGAACCAGGCTTAAGTCTTTCTTTTTTCATCAAATTATATTTCGGAGCAGCAGCAGGTGAGTAGATTTAATTATTATTTAAGCCTCCATATTGATGGGGGTTAGTTTGGAATGTTATAGAGCAGCTATCGGACTATTTAATTGCCGCATTTCAGTTGTTTCAACGGTGAACTTTTCATTATTTTTTTTTATATTATGGTGGGTTGCCTGCAACTTTTGATGGTACTTGCTCTTTTCTTTATGATATGCTTAGACGTGGAGTTAAACCCTGGACCTTACCAAAATGTTAATTTGAAAATTGCACACTTAAACATCCGTAGTTTGAATGAACCTAACAAATTTGGGGAGATCGCTTCTGCCATCTTAAATCATAAATTTGATCTTTTTGCATTATCAGAGACATGGTTGAATGATTCTATTTCTAATGACTTGTTTAGTATTCCTTGCTATTGTCCACTGATTTGTCTTGATAGATCAGACGGTAGGCGCTCAGGAGGTGTAGCTGTTTATGTTACAACTTCAATTGCTGTCAAACGTAGAAACGATTTAGAGACATGCGGCTTCCAATTGCTGTGGGCAGAATTGAAAGTAAGTTCTAACAATCTTATCTGCGGAATTTGCTATAGACCGCATGGAGGTGATTTAATTTTTAATGCTAGGTTTCTAGATAATTTGCAACGATGTTTAGATAAAATCAATATATCACAGCCTAATAGTCTTATTACTATTATCGGTGATTTTAACGCTCATTATGACTCGACAAATCAATCTGAAAGTACTGATTTCGGTTGCCTTTTGTATTGTTGGGTGGAATGTAACAACTTATTTCAAGTAATCACTGAGCCAACTAGAATTACACAGCACGGAGCAACTATTTTAGATCTCATTATCACCAACTGTCCAGGATATTTTGTTCATACTGCTACTCTCAGCCCGCCATCCAATTGTGATCATTCTTTGATTTTTGAAAAAATGAGTATAACTTTCACAAAACAAAAATGCTATAAACGTTTTGTTTGGGAATTTAACAATGTTAATGAATCGGAATTGTGCAATGCTTTAGTGACAGCCAATTTGGATGTTCTCACATCATATTATAATGACATGAATTTAATTTATGAAAAATGGTTTACCTGTTTTTATAACGTTATTGAGTCTTATATCTGTCACAAATTTTTCACAATGCGTCCTCGAGACAAACCCTGGATGAACAATAGTATTAGGCGAGCCATAAGAAAAAGAAACCGGTTACTTAAGATTCATGTTAAAAAGAGAACTGTGACTTCTTGGGACAGATACAGGCAGCAAAGAAATTTGACAACATCTTTAATTCGCTCAAATAAAAAGAAATATTTTTCTAACTTGAACGAACGATTGCAAGATTCCTCAACTAGTTCAAAATGCTGGTGGGGCATAGTGAAATATCTTTATAGTTTGAAAATGCAAATGTCAATCCCAATCTTGATTGAAGGTGCAAGGTATATTTGTTGTTCTAAAGAAAAATCGAACTTTTAATGATTATTTCTACGCTCAATGCCTTATTGATGACAGTTGTGCTATCCTTCCATCAAATATTTCGCATTTTCAAACTACTATTACTTTGTCAAATATTTATGCATCTGAGCGCGAGTCGTTATTGATGGTCAATTTTCTGAATGGAAAAACCTAAAAGCCGGTGTTCCTCAGGGGTCTGTTCTTGGTCCGTTGCTTTTCTTGATTTATATCAATGATATTACTGAAAATCTTGAAACGGACTGTCTTCTTTACGCCGATGATACTTCTCTTTATGATATTGTTGAAACACCAGCGGTGTCCTTGGTTAAATTAAATAATGATCTTATAAAAATTAATGAGTGGGCTCACCAACGGTTAGTCACAATAAATCGTGATAAGACTGAATCTATGATTTTTTCAGTTAAAAAGTATCAGGTCTATCATCCTGATTTGTTTTTTGATAACAAAAAATTGTGGACGTTACAGAACATAGTCATCTCGGGTTGACTTTATGAAGTAATCTTTCTTGGAAAGCTCATATTTTAAAAGTATATGAAAAAGCTTGTAGAAGATGAACTTTACTTAAAGGATTGAAATTTATTTTAAATAGGGGGACTTTGAACAGATTATACAAATCTCTTATTCGTCCACTAATGGAGTATGGACATGTCTTGTGGGATGGCTGTACGGAAGGCGAGGGCGATCTCCTCGAGTTTGTGCAATTCATCAGCAAAAATTGTAACGGGTGCTATGAAGGGAACTATTAGGCGTTCTCTGATGCACGAAATCGGTTGGTAAGATATGAAAACTAGACGTTCTATTCATAAGTTGATATTCTATTTTAAAATTGTTAATAATTTCACTCCAAATTATTTAAAAGAGCTAATGCCATCTCAGGTGTTTGAGCGAACTCATTATTCCCTGAGGTCGTGTTCAGACTATACTTTATTTCCAGTGCGTACTGAGCGTTTTAAAAAATCTTTTTTTCCTTCCACTACTATGGCGTGGAATGATATTGATTTTTCAGTGGGCAATCTTGAGTCAGCAATTTTGTTTAAATACGCTTTGTTTAGAATTTTTGACGTTCCTCATTACAAGAGGTTATTTAATTTTTCTCTCGACAGATATTTCTCTATCATTCATACTCGATTACGTTTAAATGTTTGTGCTTTAAATTACTATCTGTTTAAAATTGGGAGTAAACCCCCTCCCGAATGTTTGTGTGGTTTTGAAATTGAAAATATTACGCCTGTATTCAAAAAGCTCACTCACACTAACACTCAATGAGTGGACACTCATTCTTAATGAGTGCAACTCACCACTCAATGAATGTCCACTCACACTAACATAGTCTAATGCGACACTCACACTCCAACTATTCAAAGACACCACTCACACTCAAGTGAAGCTCCGATTTTGAGTAAAGTGTGAGTGAGAGGTATACGTCCCTTGAGCCGCACTCAGTTAGGCTCACCTTCTACTTGGTGATTCAAATATGATGGACACGTGGTTAAGAAGGTCAGAATTACTGGACAGTGTCGCAAGAAACAACAGAGATAGGAGGAGATCAAATATATTTTTGATTATGGGAAATATGACGAGGAGCAGTTTCGTTGCCGATACCGGGTATAAACTAAGGCCGGATTTCGAAAGTTACGGATATAATTAGGCCAGAAATATCTGCACACAACGACCGAGGAAAGCCCATTCTCACAGATATACAACTTTTGTTGATGCTCAGGTTTTTAAACTGCTTCGAGTCCATCTTCTTCACACCTGACTGGGAATTGAATTGTTCTGATAAAGCTTCCCACGTGTTAATTTTCTGTTGTATGGTTTTATAATATTATCATATTTTTATTTTCTACAAGATCTTTGTGCTTTCGCACTAATTAAGTTAAGAGCGACTTTTTCAATTGCGAAAAATATTGTCTACTTTCAGCCATATTGTTCA